CATTTGTGATCGCATAGTGACGTAGATATGTGGGGGCGTGTTAGAATGAGCCGTTTTAGGTAGGTGTGGCTGACTCTTAACTTTTATAAAGAATATCTCTTTGGATTTGAGACTTTAGTCTTTGCAACTTTACAGATCTTCTTTATGCACCAAGAGCTTGTAACACTCCAAAGAGAAAGGAACAATTGAAATCGCATCATATGACCCCTTTAAACCAACTCAAACCAGCTACTATGCTTCAAAACATACCTAACCAACATACGCTGTTCAACAGGGTAGTCTTTTGGTAGAGCGACAGTTTGAAGAGACTTACCTTGCTAAACAAATTAGGTAGACTTTCAGCGTTTTTTGTTACCTATTTGAATAACACATGGTTTTACTGGCCAAAACATTTGAAGGATAATGTTGCCCATCGAGAATTGATGTTTGTTGTCTTCGCAGTAATGCAAGAACTGGGCCCAACTGAGCAAGTGTCCAATCTTGCTCCTGGAGGGCCACCTTCCTGCAATGTTTAGCTTTTTATTATTTTAAAACCACAAAGATAAGAAATGCACTCTTTCATTAGATAAAATATCCCACCTTTAATAGTTGAGTATATTTACAGTACAGACCTTGTCAGAGGGCAAATAAATAAATAAAATAATTGTTCATTAATCATAATCGAGGTAAAATGTTCAATTAATTGAGATTTTGATTTTACGTCATATCGTCCAGCCCTATGCTGACATTGTTTAATCCAGGGGTGTCCAAAAATCCTGATCCTGAAGGGCCAACAGCCTGCAAAGTTTAACTCCAACCCCAATTAAACACACCTGAGCCAGCTAATCAAGGCGTTACTAGGCATACTCGAAACTTCCAGGCAGGTGTGTTGAGACAAGTTGGAGCTAAACTGCAGGACACTGGCCAGAGATTGTCTTACTACAGGGAGATGAGAGGGTCTGTATTACTTACTATTGGAGAGAGCGTAATGGCTAACTTGGATCACGTGTCCCTTCATAACCAATCACATTACAGCCTTGATGTCATTAAATTTCAGTCAGAGTTGTACGGCACTTAATCGGCGTCTACGGATATCATAGAAATGAATGGGAAATGCCGTAAGCTGTATCCCATCTGTCACAAAAAGTCAGTGACTTCTCTTATAAAACGGCATTTTTTCGGTATAAACTCTAAAAATAGTTCAATCCAAAAGTATTGTTTAGTGTAAAACAGGGGTGGGCAAACTTTTTGACTCCAGGGCCACATCAAGTTTTCCACATTAAGTGAGGGGCCGCATAATATGTTTATGACAAATGAAGCTTCGATTTATTTATTTTTTATTCTAAATTGACACTCACTTACTACTGTACTGTATGTATACATACATGGCAGTTCTATTCTTGTACCATATCTACCTATTTTTTTGTGAGCACTTTATGACACACAGATAAGTTGCATTGGTGTACAAGTCGATTGATGTGTAAGACACATTTTATCATTTCATTCAGAAATAATGTAAAATAAACAACACGTTTACAAACATTAGAAACATGTATATTCCCCACACTCCAAAAAAAAATCCTGTAAATTTAGCAATGTTCAGAATAAAAAAAAAAGAATGAAAATATAAGAAAAAAAACACAAATTATAGTGGCATTCACTATAAACATATATTATAAATGCCCAGCCTACATATTTAAAGCGAAAGTGAAACTAGCAGCGTGGTTGCTGGAAAATGCACAATACAAACTCAAAACAAACTCACTTGCCTTTTCTCATTCGTCACCCATTCTAATGTGCGTCAAGTTGACCTTGATTGCTTTATATAGCCTGTTTCAGATTAAACCTATTTTTTTTTCAGATGAAAAAAAAAAATTATAATCCAGAAAAAAACAGTAGGCTACTATATCCATTTTCATAAAAATGTGTGTGGAAAACAGAATAAGAAAGCATATCTTTGCAAGATAAATGACAAATTCGGGCCGCCACAGGAGTGATAGTGGGCCACAGATGGCCCGCGGGCCGTAGTTTGGACACCCCTGGTGTAAAACATGCTGAAGATTAGCCGATAGGCTGTCGATTCATTAAATGTTGAGCTGTTTCCTCTAAAAAGCTGTTTATTCAGTGTAGTGAAGCCTCTCCTCTATTAACATCCATTAAAAAAAACAAAACGCCTATGGTCTCCTTTCCGTTAGCTGTTACGCTTTTTTGGCTAATGGTTGCAGGCTTGCCTTCTAGTGGCCCTCCAAGACCGAGTTTTGACAACCCTGGCTTAGTGTGTCGTGGCCTATACATAAGATGAGTGAATTATAGAGTTTGTTTCTGGTCTCACACAGAGCAATACCATCCAGATGTTCTCTGTGGAAACAGTAACAGTAGAACTGTGTGTGTTTGTGTCCTTCAGGTGCGTTAGAGCAGACGTGTCAGCGTCATACCCGCTTGTTAGACATCCACGTGGAGCAGCTGCAGTTTAACGAGCAGCGTTTCCACCAGCTGGAATCCACTTCCTACGACGGGAAGCTCATCTGGAAAGTGCGCGACTACTGGCACCGGAAAGAGGCCGGCACCCTACTCAACTCGACCCCCCTCTACACCAGCCGTAGCGGCTACAAGCTCAGTGTGCGGGCTTACCTCGGCGGGGAGAATTCAGGGAGAGGCACTCACCTGTCGCTCTACATCACGATAATGCGCGGAGACTTCGACTCGCTCTTACCATGGCCATTCAGACAGAACATAACGTTAACACTGCTGGATCAAAGTGGCTCGAGGAACCACCAGAGCAATACTTTCACCCCCGATACCAACAGCGATAGCTTTCATCGGCCAACATCTGATTCTAATGTGGCCACGGGTTTCCCGAGATTCATATCCCACGGCGATCTGGAGGCCCCTCGAAATGCCGTTTATGTGAGAGACGACACGCTGTTCATCAAAGTAAAGGTGGACACAACTGGATTAGAGGACTTGTAGCCTATGAGAAAAACGAATTGTCACAAAAGAGTGTCCAGGATTCACTGGAGGGTCATTTAATACCCGCTTGAAGACATTTGTTGTAGTAGCACTGGTTATTATGTTTACATGCACAGATTTTCATCAATCTGAATCAGTTCAAACCAGCTGAATGTATTGCTCTTATGTGCCATATTTATGAAATTTAAGTTTGGATGTGAATGAACAAAATTCTGCACATGAGAACATCATCGGTCCTAAAACATAACCTTTTATGATACTGATTATTTCTAGCCAAGATCCATGTCTGCTTAATGGTCTTTGTCTTGTCGGAGTGAGTGGTGCAGATCAAAGCACACTTGCCTGCAACATGTTGGCTCATAAAGACCTGGGTCATGTTTTAATGCTTTTTTTAATCTATCCCCATCTCTCTCTGCACTGCTTTCTAGTCAATAAAGGAAATAATTTCAAATAGTGTGTCTTGACGCCTGATCGATGCTATTCTCAGTGTTTGTTGAGGAAAAAGGACAGTGGTTAGTGTGTTTTTCTGAAGCTCAGTGGTCAAAGCTGTAAGAGCCCACCCCAACAACTGGCTCTGATATTTTTAAACTTTACAGAAGTTGTTTTCATGTTAAAGTTATTTCAATGGGCCATAGCTAGCTATCTCTGTGGTTTACCCAGTGTGTAACTGCCATATTCAGAGTCAGGGAAAGTTACTTTTAAAAGTAATGCGTTATAATATTGCTTTACCCCGTAAAAAGTAACTAATTGTGTTACTTAGTTACTTTTTATGGAAAGTAATAAATTACGTTACTTTTACCTTACTTCGGCTTGGCTGGACTTGCTTAATAAAAACCCCAAAAGTTATATTTTTTGCAACTGTGAAGGCACTTTTACACCAAAAAGTGAAATTAAGTAGCTTGCGTTACTTATTTGAAAAATTGTCGCTCGGGTATTTCGTTGTAAATTTAAAAGTAATGTGATACTTTTACTAGTTACTTGAAAAAAAATCTGATCTGATTACGTAACTTCTGTTACTTGTAATGCTTTACTCCCAACACTGGCCATATTCTAACATATAAAAACACATTTGCTTACCTAACAAATGAAAGAAGTAAAGTTTACGCTTATGTTCTCACATCACCATGTTTTTATATTGTAGTGACGCACATAAATGTGCCGTGCAGACTTGTGTATTTTTTAATCCAATTATGGACTGTGCTCAATTCAACCATTTCTTTCAGACTGAGATGAGAGTTTTACGGTTTTGCTGTGAGAAACTTGATGGTGTAAAAAGACTTTTTAATGTCATTTCATGCTTGTATTCAAGTTGAGTTAAACTGTGCTTTGTTTTCTGTTGCTGGTAAACGTCTCATCACACTTACTGAAGCCATATCAGTTTTTTGTTGGGAAACCTGTTTTACAATAGTTAATAAGAACCACCTACATTAGCAACCACAAAGGACACCGTAGCTTAAAACTGCTATCAACGTGTGTTTATGCTAAACACTGTTAAATCTGCATATCAACATGCTAAATACAAGGTAGCAGATCTCTGTGTGGAGCACTGGCTGTTGTCAGACAAAAATCTCACTGGATTATTACTGGAAATGTAAACTGATATTTCCTACTGACACACTACAGCAAAAGATAGAAATAACTGACTTAAAACCATTTTTTAGCTGGTGAAAATACTAGTGTTCTAATGATTTTGGCCACCACTGTATATTTTTATTTTACATTTATTTTTATCAGTAAAGTAAAACCTGTAATGTTTGCAGTTGTGGTGATTAAATGTGAATTATGATCTTTCGAAATGCGCTTGCTTTTCATTTAGACCACATTAACACACATTGTGTGTATATGCAATACAATGCATTTTCCTCTCAAAGCATGTCATCTTCAGATCTATTTCCAGTGTAAAATCCCATAAATGTCTTCACTTGAACCAAATTAAACCCCCCCGGTATTGTACAGACCTACACTGTAAGTGTTTGTGCCCAACCCTCAAGCTTCAACGTGAAGTATGACACTGACACAAGCGTATAAATAGGTACATTATTACAGGCAGGCAACATGACACTGGCATGGGCGCTCGTGCTTTGTGTGGTGAATGATGGGACAATAGCCGCTCATATGACGATGAGCCCCTCTGGCTATTCATAGCTATCGTCCACAGCTACGTCTAGCTGTTGTCGGCTGGAGTGTGTCTGTGTGCAAGCGGTTTCAGGAAGAAAACAAACAAAAGAAAGCTCAAGATGTGGAAACGAGAAAAAATGTGGATGATTAAGCGTAAGTGTCACATTTTGGATGCATGAAATGCCATTGCATGTGCTGGAGATGGACTGAGCATCAGAACCTGTTGGTTAGATTAAAACAAAAACCACTAACACAAAATGTAAATTTTGTGTGGCGTTAGTGTAGAGGTATTTGAGACTTCACGTCTCATGTCTGATTTCTGTTTCAGCACCAACTGAGCACCCAAAGGAGTCAAAATACAGGCCTGTGCTGGAGGTATTCCCCTTCAAAAGTACACCAAACCCATTTACACCCAGCTAGTGGAAAGTCCCGTACTCTTCTCTGTTTGTGGACGGGAAAAAAAAAAGAGTGCTGCCAGGCAGTTGCATTGTTCAGTGATCTCGAATGGATCGCCACAACCACGTCCTCTCGCTATACAACCTTGACCATTCTTGGCAAGTTTGAGACCTAGTTTGGTTCAAAACAGGAATGCTCGTTTCTAATGCACAATGAACACTGTTCACATCATGATTATAATATTTAATTAAATACTGAAATTATTATTTTAAAAACGTATTTTATTTAAAATATCTCATTTTAACTTAATGTACTACAACAACTAAAACCTAACTAATAAATAAATAAATAAAAACTATATAGATTTTCTTTTTTTTTTAATGACAGAAACACAAAATTACTAAAACTTTTAACTAAAATAAAAACTATAATGGTATCTCGTCTGATACTAAAATAACACAGGTTCACATATTTACAATATTATAATTTGATAATGATAAAAATTATTACTAATAAAAATAACTCTGACTGCACCGAAAAGATAAGTCTTCAAAATATAATTCTTTATTAATTAAACTATAAATTGACATCAAAAAGCAAACTGACGTCAAAAACTTGACATTGATTAAATTGAAATTGAAGTAATATTTGACATCGAATCGATATCAAGGTGCCCGCTGTCGGTTGTCTTTTGCCTAGAGTTTACTCCCCCGTGACCCAATGAGCAGGTTTAATCTGAAGAGAAGCTCCCCTAAAGATGAGTTCCCAAACCTGGACAGAAACCACACCCTGATGGGCCGGATCCTCAACCTGCACATGTACACGCGCCAGTTCAACCGGGCAACTGAAAGCGGCGTCATTTTTGATGATATCATACGCCCCGGACTTGAGGATCCGGGTGAGTTGTTTTATGTGTGTGTGAGTGTGTGTGTGTGTGTGTGTGTGTGTGAGTGTGTTGTGTTTGGCAGTATGAAGTATCGAAATTTCATTCTCACGCATCTGTTCACTGGAGATTATGACTCATTCTATAAATTGACAGTCCGTGTAAGTTACAGCTACACGGCTGCAGACTGCGGAGGAATGAAGCTATCACTTCTCTGAATGAATGTACACCCACTACCCTTGAAGAGGGGAATATATCTAATACATCTGAAGACATGAATGTTTATGAAGTCATCTTCATCATGGGAACCCTTGTGAAAAAGAAGCAGGCCTACACATTAGCATACTGTAAAAATGAGTCATTCTTACGTAAATAATGTGTGAACTGAATGTATTTTTTTCCGACACTTAATGGCATTTTAATTGCAATTAGATGAAAATGTATTGAGGTTTAAATTTATATTAAATGCAATAATTAGAATTTTAGACTGCTTTTTACTCAATGAATTAAAATGTACTTTAAAGTAAGTTTTAATTTGACATTATTATAACGTGCACGTTTTAAAAGTGTATTAAGATTCAGTCATGAAAGCATCTCTCTTTAAGCAATCTTAAGTGGCCTTTTATTTCATTAATATTATATGCAAGTATCATGTTTAAAAAATATACTTCTAAAATTTAAGTGCACATTCAATACAACTTAGTGCACTTACTTTTTCTGGGGGATTGCATTAATTTAGGTTTCAAGTTTTACTTTCCCTCTGGGGGCATTTGGTAACAAAATTGACTAATACACACACACACACACACACACACACACACACACACACACTAGTTTCTATGTATCTGTGGACCCCTGATTCTCTATAAAGATACTACAAGGGATCCATTGTCTATTTAAATTATGTTTAAAAAAATTATTAATTATATTTTATTTAATTATATTATTAATTAACATTTTTATAAGTATAATATTTTATATGTATTTTTTTAATAATCTGGGTTGGGGGTCCCTGGGGGGGGGGAAGGTTGACAGTCTTTTTAAGTTACACATTTTTTTTGCCATACTAAGTCTGTGAAAGAAAAGGTTGTGAATTAACTTTTTGATGACTAAGTGAACTTTTAGTCTAGAGCCACACCTTTCTCTCTGAATAAGAAATAAGAGATGAACCATAAACAAATATGAATCATATTTGTGTTCGTAAACTCTAGTCTGATTTTGTCTGACAGGTCAGTCCACTGGACCAAAAGCAGTGGGCTGTTTAGCAGGGGATGCTCAGTCATATATCCTGTTCTGTGACTTCTTTGACCGTATTATCGAGTCTTACCATGGCTACAAGGTCACCACTGACACTGTTCAAGAGAGCGACTTCAATTATGACAACCTGAAGGTAAAAAAAAAAAAATCTAATGACAACACCTCATCTCAACAATGAGTTTAAATGGACACCAAATGGACATATGAGACTCAATTTCACATCTCAAGATTTTAACCACACCAAAATATGCAACCAAAAGTGAGTTTGAGATCATCAGTTTTATAGCTCCATTACTGACAGTAAGTGTTACATTTTAGTTTTAGGAAAAACCTCTGAGACATAACTTCATTTAGTCTCTCATTTTCCTCTCAGTGTAAAGCTTGTGATTGTAATATACTGACGAGATCTGTAGAATAGGGCAAAATCTGTGGTAGCATGGTATAGATGTGTAAAAAGTGTGTTTATGTGTGTAGGGTGGTGATGACTTTGATCAAGCATATGCTATGAGTTGTGAGGTGACTGCAGGCCGCAGCACTGAGGACTACTGCTTCCCCACACACTGCAGCAGAGGAGAGCGCAGACAGCTCCTCACACTGGCCAAACCAGGTACTGCATTTGATCACGGGTCTAAGTGGATGGATATATTTTATGCTGCTAATATAACTTGTTTTATAGTTTTAGAGCAGCTGGGTGAGGATCTGCCTGGAAAGCTTTACTCCATAGATGAACTCAGCCATGAGAGTGAAGATCGCAGGGCTGTGATGGACTCTCCACCATTGTCTTTGATAAAGATCGGTGTGGCTCGTGACTGGCCCGATGCAAGGGCCCTGTGGTTGGTTAGAGTTCACAATTTATGGTTGTATATGCTTGCATCAGAGCCATGTACAGTATGTTTTTGCCTTGCAATTAGGTTAAGTGAGGATGGGACCCTGGCTATTTGGGTGAACATGGAAGACCATCTGAAACTGGTGTCTTACCGAAGTGATGCCTGTTTACAAGAGGCATTTAAAACGATCTGCATCAATGTGCTGAAGGTTAATTTTGATTGACTACCTCATACAATATCATATTGATATATTTTTTAGCGAAGAAAAACGGTCTTAATATTGAACCCTGAGGCATGCCATAAATATTTGCTATATATGGTCTATTCTGCACACACTAACAATCTAAAACATGTTTTTATAGATGGAGACACTATATAAGAAACTGAGACATCCATTTATCTGGAAGCCTCACTTGGGCTGGGTGGTCAGCTCACCTGCAGAGGTCGGCACAGGCCTGAAGGCAAGCGTCACAGTGAAACTGCTGCATCTAGCCGAGAACAAACGCCTGGACGACATCCTGGACAGACTACGACTTCAGATGGAAGCAACTGGTATGGCAAAACTCATTAGAGGATCTGTAGTGTAAAATCATACAGCACATCAGCCACAGTTTAACATAAAAATGTAATTAGGCTGCATCCAAATATAGGTGCATTTTTCACCTTCTAATATATAGATTAAAATCCAGTAGGTAAAAATGACTTCCCATTAGGCCACAGAAAATGAGTTATGAATGCCAGTGAAGCGATGCAACTGATGCTGTAGGACACATTACAGTGACAACATGATGGATGTAGTACATCCGGATTAAACTCATTCTACACACATTCATACTATATTAACCACACTTTTCTTTAACAGTTGTGAAATAAGTATATGTTTAAAAGAGGTACCTACTCAGAGAGTATCCGATTTTGGATACAGCTTTATTTTTCTTCTGCCATGGAAGCCTATAGCACATGTAAAAGGTGGTGAAATTTGGAACACTGGTGGTGGTCCAACTTTTCTAGCGGCAATTTTAGGGTGTCTCTTATATTTTCTAGTGCCACCAACAGTCCAAATTTTGACATAGCTAATAACTTTTCATAACATTTTCTTTAAAGGGATCATATAATGCTACATGCACTTTTACAAGTTGTTTGAACTGAAAAAAATGACCCCTTTAAAACGTAACATTTTTGCTATTCCTTCTACAAACTTAACACATTAACCAAATTCTGCTCAGATGATCTTCACACCAAGATTGTTAAATCAAATCCTCAAAAAGATGACAGCAAGGACAAATAACATTTTAATTCGTCACACATAAATTATATTGTAGCTGCCACTGCTATATTTTCTGTATTTCCTTTTGTACATCAAAGGAAACTAACTTCATTTAGTTGCTACTCTGAACAAACTCATTATTTGTATTTAATATGCAGGCTGTCCTGGCATCTACAAAGTCAGCAACCTGCAGACCATTGGTGTTAATGAAGTGGAGCTGACTCAGCTAGTAGTGGATGGGGTCAAACTTCTCATCCGAATGGAGAAAAGACTGGAAAACAACAGTGGCATAGATGACCTGGTACCTGCTCAGAAGTGAAGCGGCCATCAGGAGGCTTGTTTTATTATTGCTCCATTACCATTGCTCTAGAGCAGGGATCCTGAGATCTGGCCCACGAGATCCACTTTCCTGCAGAGTTTAGCTCTAACCCTAATCAAACACACCTGAGCATGCTAATCAATGTCTTCAGGATCATTAGAAAATCACAGGTAGCTGAGTTTGATCAGGGTTGGAGCTAAACTCTGCAGCGCATTGGCCCTCCAGGGCAAGATTTGAATAACCCTGCTCTAGAGAAAAGTCTTCCGTTCTGATCAACACTATGATGAAAAAGGGACTTTGCAACACGTTTTCTTGATGTTTGTAAAATGTTGTTGATGCTAGTTGTTTGGTGAATCTCATGAAGAAATGTCTAGATTATATTTCACCCTATCCTACATAAAGTCAATGAAGCCTATTTTAGGCTCATTACAATCTTCTCACTAAGCCATTACAGACACATTGCCTTGAAAATGTCACAATACAGAATTGTAATAGTCTTAATTCTCTTTAATATGTAATATATAATTTTTTTCTGGGTCTGAAATATGACCTAGGCGATTCATTGAACTGAAAACTACATTTAGGATTTTCGCTGCATTTGAGTTTACAGACTCCTTTCACAGTCAGCAGTATTTACTACCTGTATATCCTAAGCATATATGATCAGCTGCAAAACAGAAGAGCACAATGTTCAGTTGGTTATCAAGAACAACAAAAATACATGATGTAATGATTGCAATGAGGTATGCGATATACTTTAAAAAAAGGACACAAGACATTTTAGTTCAAAGACTCATTTCAAGTAAGCTTTAATGTGCTCCAGTGGGACTGAACCACAGTGGCCCAAGGGATTTTTCCGCAAAAATGTACAGTACTATGTCCAGAGAATAAATGCGACGAGTGTGTGGAAGAGTTTAATTGCATTTTTTGGAGATCCTCAGCCTTCAGCTTGCTTCCCATCCAAACGGTTTCATCCGTACAGCCTTTAAAAAATAAAATAAAAAATGTACTGTCACAAAATGGAACATCACAGTTGACATTCGAACATTCAATGCCTCTCTGCGCTTTAATCACAGCTTTACCCTTTAATATTTTTAGCCACTAATCCTTTTCCTCAAACTACGCAAACTTGACCTCATCTTCCCTTAAAAGTGTGCAGTCACAACCTCTTTAGTCAGCATAACAGTAAAACAACATAGACAGCATTGCACATTTAACCTTCGATACTTCAGTACAAAAGAACTAGTACGAGAGGTCGTAACCCATCTTCATCATCATCATCACCACCACTTATTACAAAACAAATAACAGTTTACCAAAAAAAAAGTC